GGTAAAAAAAAACCTTCTGCTTTTAGAACCACTTTGATTGTGTTCCATTCGTTACTTTTGGATTCACGCGACTCCAGTCGATATCGTCCAATCAGCTCATTCCATTTCTCTTTGTGAGCTGGACTAGCAGGAATGACTCAGAGTGCATAAGTATCTCCAGAAATAATGAATGCACACGTTAAACCGAATATAGCCAATCTTCCTAAATAACTTCCGAAAATACGAATCGAATTGGAACAACAAATATATGAAACGAATCTGAATATCTGAAATTAATTCCAAAAACAGACCATTTTAACATAATGAATATGAGGAAACAAAATGAATTTTTTAATGTAAAAAAACATAACAAAACAAATGTTTCCGTCCTGCACATCTCTACCGGGAGAGCTCTTTTATGCATATTCCTGCTTCAGTGATTAAAGTCACACTAAGGACTTTTTTTTTTCAATTGGTCCATAGTTATGATAGGAGGCCTCATTGACCAGTAGTAAAGTACAAGAGGCTGGAGGGGACGAACCTTCAAAAACCAAAGTCAAAGTTTTTTGCAGGGTGTGTGACTGTACATGCAGTCTCCTTATAATGCCAGCATCATTCATGCAAACATTTTGTCTAATAAAACTTTCTATTTTTGGCACACAGACAATTTTAAGGAACTGATCTTTTTTTTTTACTTTCATGATCTGGTCCACATTGTTACACGATAGTCCTCCCTATATCGTAGCATGCAGTGGTCATGTGAGATATTCCATGTGTTAGTACATTCTGCTGCGGCTGTTTTCTAATAAAACATTATCAGGTTTCACTGTGAGCCCTCACCACCCCCAGGACCCAGCAACAGTTCCTTAAACTACTCTGTGTCTGTGTGTGTCAAACTTAAAATCATACCATCATATCCTGGGTGGAGCCTGAAGTTACAGAAAAAGCATTAAAAAAAAAACCTCAGCCTGTTACAGCACACAGGAGGAAGAAGAGAGAGAGAGAAAGAGGGGGCCGGTAGAAGCATGTTCTAGCAAGCTGAAAGACAAGGCCATCAAATTACATAGGAGAGAGTGGGAGCAAACTACATTCAAAGCACATCCAATACAGCTTCTTCAAGGAGAACTTTGGCACACACTTTAAGGAGTGTCAGACATCACCAAGGCAGCTTAAAGTTCCACCACATCCTCACCCAGGTGGGATGCTGTTTACTATTCTCGTGTAAAAACTTTGCTTCTTTTTTTTTTAAGTCAAGTTATGCTTTGGCCAAGCTGTACATCATCTGAGCTTTGAGACTGGACTCTTCCACATGGGTTCCAAGTGGATGCTCTAACAATAGTTAGATGATGAGCTCAAAACAAGTCTTGATTTAAATTGGCCAAGTGGAGAAAAATTGGAGGGACAAGACAGGTAATAAAGAAACCCTTAAAGCCTGGAAGTCAAGAAGGTTCTTCTCCTTGCCTTGTCATAAAATTTAGACCATGGGACTCCAGTGGTTGTGGTCATTGGTTTTGATGGTGGACCTTCTCCATGTGGCTATGTCAATGTCTACGTGTAAGGCAGTGGACATGGAACAGGTGAAGAAGAGGAGGATTGAAGCCATTAGAGGGCAAATTCTTAGTAAACTGAAGCTCACCGAACCTCCAGATGTAGAGAGTGAGGAGATGACAGTTCCCACAGAGGTCTTGTCTATATATAATAGCACTGTGGACACGATAAAAGAAAAAATAAAGAAGGAAAAGCCTGTCGTGGAGGAATATTATTCCAAACAGGTTGAAAAGATCGAGATGGTCAAGAATGGTAAGATAACCAAAACCTCCTTAAAGATATTTTTGGGTGTTCGTTATGTTTTATGTTCTCATGTATTTTATTTCTGTACAGTACATAAACTTGTTCTCAGGAGAAATGTATGCTGATCATATTTAAAATCACCAACACAAAGACTAGAAAATGATAAAGCGAGAAGAGAAATGAGGGGAGGATGGAGAGTATTGCTCTTCTGAAGATTTGATCCCAATAAAACTCGAAAGGTTTTTACTATTTAATAGAAGGGCTTGGGCAGCAGTTCTTAGAAACATAAACAGAAACACAACACTGAGAGCAAATAAAGACTTTCATAGAGTAAAAGGCAGCGTATCGTGTTTAGAGCCTCTAACCGGCAAACTTTGTTCTGACTGCTCTAAACCGATGAAAATACAATCAGATTGGTTGCTGTGGGTGGCTACGCTTTGTACAACATCACTGCTATTCAGAGGTCCACTAAATCAGCTCACTTTATTTAATTGCACTTTTTTCTTAAATTGTTTTTATTGGAAGCTTACTTCAATCTGTACTGATCCTCACAATATATCTGCTGGTTGCAGGACATGAGACTCTACTACCCTTTTAGTAAAAGAATGGTGCTATTAAAATATAACAAAGTTTCTCCTTTTTGGATTAAAGTGGTATTGAGCCATAAAAAACAAAAATGTAGTATATTGCAGCTTACCTACAGTATCATTAGATGTGGTGGATGCATTAGGTTTCATTTTTTAGGCTTTTCCCTCTGTTTTCACCTGGTGCTCTGGCCAGTAACACACCTCCTGTCTTATAGTGCCTCCACTCTGCATGAAGGAGCACAGGGGACACATTTGGACAGCAGCATTGTCAGTCTGGGAGGGAGAGGAGTATTAGATGTACTAGCAGAGTTAAAGCCAAACTCCAGCTAACACTTTATAAGCAGTTACAGCAAACACTTTTTTTTCCTTTTGGGATAAAGGTTTTACACAAATAAATAAAAGCTGATCATTGTACGCACCCCTGATAATGTTATATGGTTTGTCTCATCTCTCTAACTGCAAGAAAGATTGTTCTTTTTAATAAACAACAGACTCAATGGCCAGATCACCAGATGAAAATAGAAGAAAGAAACTCTAAAAAAGAAAACTAATGCAGCCATCACATCTAAGAATTAGTAAGCTGCAATATAATAAATTCCGGCTTTTGGGTTTACTATTTCTTTAAGTTGTTTGTTTTAATATTCTTGTACTTGCCAATTCAGCCAAACCAACTTATAAATTGTTAAATGTATTGACAAACTTTTAGAGTCTTTAACGTTTAGCACTCCTCAACTTTTCTTCTGTAACTGATATCCCTACATTTAGTGTTAATGGTACATTAGTGTCACAGATGTATAAAAAAGTGTGCTTTAGGGAAAAAAAAAGTCTTGTTGTATATAACAACCAATCAGAACCTTTGTTTCATTTTTAAAACTGGAATCTAAAATTGATAGTTGATTGGTTGCTTTAGCCAATAAGAATATTTTCGCTTTGGAACTCCTTTCACATATCAGCCATGAACTGATCTATGATAGAACCGTGCAAAGAATAACGATGCCTACTTATCCATAGCAAGCAATCAGAAATCAGGTTTTTGCATTTAACTATAATAAACTGTTCATTTTTGATACAGATAGTTGCTAGCAATCCTGGGGCCGTACTAGGTTGTAAAGGTTTATCCCCAGAATTAACCCTGGTTTTCAGGGCTCCCTGTGTCATATAGCAGGCTATATGAGCAATTTGTAGATGAAATTCGCTCTGTGGGTGGTCCTGTTGGCACCCTCCTGCCTGACATCCTTCATTGGAAATCCAAAGGGAGTTGGGTGGAAATTTGTCGCCCAAATAGCGCCTACATCTAATCAGCTGCAGCCAGTTTTCGGTATTTTGACAGCTTGTGCCTCCACCAGCTGCAGCTGGAGAATCTGTTAGATTTTTTTTTATATATCTATGTGTGTATGGCCAGCTTAAACATTGTCTTTGTCTAATTAAGGGCCATATCACACCAATGGACATGTTGCTGATGGCAGCAAAAAGATCACTAAGAGGGCACTTGTGTGCTTCTATTACCTTTCCCCCCATCTGTCCAAAATATCACTCGCCACTAACCCTTGGTTCACACCAGGGGTGGACTGACAACTCATGGGGCCCCCCGGGCAATTGGGGATCATGGGGCCCCTATGTCCTTGCCCAAACTCAAAACACACCCAAAAAAGCCTATAAAAGGTACCAGGGGCATTTTATGGGGCCCCCTAATGACCCCGGGCCCTCGGGCAGTGCCCGAGTGCTCAAATGGTCAGTCCGCCCCTGGTTCACACCTATGTGTTTAGTGCATTTTACTGAAATGCACTACAGTCCATTTAACATGGTTTCCTATGGCTCACCTCTATGCATTTTGAGCCAGTGCTTCTTTTTGTTAAGGGTCAGGGACTTTTTTCCTGCAGCAGATTACATTTTGCGTGTAATACACTTCAATGGACTTGCACTAAAAACACAAGTTTTGCATTTGTGATGCATTTTTGATGAATTTGCGGGGGTTTTTTAATAGGAAAGTATGATGACAGTTATGTTCATGTAGTGTGACTTTGATGCGACTTTTAAGGAACTTTACTACAACTTTAAACTCTCAGGCACTCAAGTAGAATCAATGTAGTATCAAAATCTCACTACAGGAACAGAACTGTCATACTCTCCTATTAACCAGAACCCCCTCCGCAAAACACATAAATAATGCGTGTTCAAAAAGCAAAATGTGCTGGAAAAACGCATCAACCGCATCCTGCATAGATGTGAACCTAGCGTAAAGGAACAGAGCCAAAACATCATCGTTAGCCAACTAGAGCGTGACACTGTAGGAGCAGGTGAGTGTACTTTATGGTCTGTTACTGACAAGCTGCCACCAACAACAGGACCACTGGTGGGACATGGACCTAAAATCTATATTCTTAATATGTACCAGTGCACACTTGGCATTTCTGCTCATTAAGCAGCTTTTATTTAGTAGGATATAACTTATACAAACAGAATTTAAATTCCATTTATAAAATGTATTCGATAGTATATTATACTGTAGTAGTATATATTATATTATTGTGTAGAAAATAAAAAAATAATCAGCAGCTAAATGTCCCTAGATATGATTTTAAACTGTTGGCAACTCTGGACTTCCATACACAGCCAGATGTTCTCAAGGAATGACTGATTCCAGCATTTCCTGGGACCAGGGGCGGACTGACCATTTGGAAACTCGGGCACTGCCCAAGGGCCCAGGGTCAGTAGGGGGCCCCATGAGATGCCCCTGATACCTTTTTCATAGGCTTTTTTGAGTTTGGGCAAGGACACAGGGGCCCCATGATCCCCTATTGCCCGGAGGCCCCATGAGTTGTCAGTCCGCCCCTGCCTGGGACCATCGTGAAGTACAGTGGTGAGTAAATAAATTATTTATTCTGGCCAAAGAACTTCATTAACTCCCAAAGGCTTGATGTGTGTAAACGCGATACACACTTTTACACGTGTCAAGCACTTTTTTAGCCAAAATGTTGCTGGCTTCAAGGAGAGTTAAAGATTATTGCCAGTGTGCATGAGGCTTTAGGAGTTTGTAGATGTTGAATCTTGTAGTCACATATTTTTCAGCATCTTGGAAAATCTCTATGACCAATTGGCAATCCTTGGATTACCGTCGTGGTCAAGGAGGAACGATGAGTCCCAGCACTGTTCAATCCAAAGGAAGATGGACAGAATTCTCAACCTCTCTGGACACCAGGTCTGGGACTGTATTAGGTGCACTAGGCTTATGCCTATAGGCGGCAGGGAGAGGCGGATTTTCTTTGTTTAATATCTGCTACACATTTTCTTCCCTAATATAAGCATACTACTGTCTTATAATTATAATAAATATATAATAATATAATAAATTCTAATTTTATATCAAGATTGTCATAATATTCTAAGCCAGGTTAGAACCAGTAACACAAGAAAATGTTCCATGCAAAGGAGGTACTCCTAGCAGAAGGGTGATGCGTTGGGTGATAAAGACTGTGCCCAGAGTCTCCAGTGATGAAAATCTGGCCCTGATGATCACCGTAAAGCTGCACATAGATGGATCGAATTTAGCAGGGACCGGCCGAGATTTGATCCATCTATGGGCAGGCTTGTTGTACTGAAGTTGAATAATTGATCAACTTCAGTACAACCAGCCTATTGGATTGTCTGCATGCAATCACTGCCGGTGGCTATAGCCACTAGCAGTGATCATTGTGTTCTGCCAGTTGGGAAGACTCCCCACCAGTAGAATACAAAAGTGCTGCAGGAGTTATTCCCCCATCAACACTAACTATGTTAATGGGGGAATCGAGTGATTTTCTTTCCTTTCAACCGTGGTGGAAGGAAAGAAAATTATATAATCTATGGCTTGCCTTAGGTCTTTTTCACATCGGTGGCAAGAGGGCAGTAAGATCAGGTGGTTGATCCTCATTTTCACCAGCCCCCAACTACTCACCTAAATCCTAACGTGGCAGCTGGAGGGTTGGTAATTACACTGTGGCCATGGCACATTTAACTTGCCTTGGAGCCAACACCTGTCAAACTCACCCACTGGAGTCAATGGGACCGCTCCGGAACCGCAAACCAAAATGCTTGGTTTTTGGTGCAGTATATAGTTCAAAATCCCCCTTGGGAATGAAAAAAGGATCACCTCCTAAATACCTGCAGCCACTGCTCTACTGCCCTCTAAAAAGTGATCTACTGGAGATCACTTTTCATTAGGTGCTAGAGACTGCTGCCTATGTGAAAGAGGCCCAAACTGCTATACAGTGTTGGTCTTTGTACATTATTTTTGCAGTATTTGTGTTTAGTTGTGCCTATGTGGTTCAGTTGTTGGTTTATGAATGTGGAGAGTGAAGTTACCATATATGAGAAGTCAGAGGAAAACTAATTAAAGTAAGGAGTGCTGTCTGGTTACAATGAAAAGCATTTCAATACTAACTGACATCCAGTTGTAGCAGCACCGCCGAGGGAATGAAAGGGTAAAAGGAACCATATTGTGACCACATTGCATCTCTTCCTGTATTTTTGGTTGCCATTTCCTTATCCATCTGTCCTGCTCCCCTTCCTCTTTTGTCAAAGCTTTTAATATCCCCTTGCTTGTCACCGGTCATTCTTCCGGCTCTTCCTTTATTCTCCAGCTGGGTTTTATCTATTTTCTGTTTCTCTTCGCTTTCTCTAAAGAGAAATTATAGTATGTTTTATATACTGCATAGTTGAAGCTATTATTGCAATGTTAAAGTGGTTGTAAACCTCAGACATGGAATATGAACAAAGCATATCCCTCTATAGTGTGTACTTGTCTCAATTCAGAGCACTAAGCGTCATTTCTGTCTGCTGCCTCCTTCTTCACTTCTAACAAGTTTTCCTGACACTAAGAGAAAAATGGTGACAGGGGAGGCACCTCCAACAGATTGACAGCCTCAGCTCTATCCCTGTGAACCTGTATGGAGGTGGATGTGTCTCTTCCCTCCAATCAGCTCACAGTGCACTCCTCACTGAGCTCTGCAGTGTCTCATTTCAGCTCCCCTCCCCCTTTTTTTGGAACTATCAGACAAGCTTTATAATTTCAGCACTTTGAACGGATGTAGAGAATAGAAGACTGCAGATAAACAGGTACAACTTCCATAGGAGGAGTAGTTTAATTTCTGTGCATCACTTCACTGGGTATATGTAAGGGTTTACAACCACTTTAACCTTAAGGTAAACCTGTGTTTTGTCCATACAAGATAATGAAATAAGCCAGTTAAATTGTGTCCACCATCAGGCGTATATCTATCACCCTTTACTCCCCCCAGTCTGTTCAGCCACTGGCAGTAAAGGGAAATATCTATAACTCCTAGGTTTGGGGGAGCATGTGACCCACTTCCCTTCCTTCTATGTAAAGGCACTGGTGTGTGATGATTGCCCAATCAGGTTTCCAGGGCTGTTGCATGGATCAAGGAGAAGTCATAACTTCAAGCGGTATTAAACCCAAAACCAAAAATGTAATATGTCGCAGCTTACTAATCATTAGATGTGATGGGGGCATTCATTTTGTTAATTTTGTTAAATTAATTTTAGGCTTTCTTTCTTTTATTATTACCTGGTGATCTTGTCAGTAAGTCTGTTGTATTTCAAAAGTTCAAGCTGACCTATAGATGTAACAGGTTGAAGGTTACGACAAACCATTTAGTACTGACTGTGGGGTGCTTACAATGATCAGCTTGTATTTATTTTTGTAAAACATAAAAAAAGCTATAACTGCTAATAAAGTGTAAGCTGGAGCTTGGGTTTAACCCTTTCATGCCGGCCGCACGCAAATGTGCGGCCTCCCGGCGTCTGGGTCTAGACTCCAAGCGGCCCACACATTTGCGTTCATGTAACAAAAAACATATGTGCTGAGAGGGCGCGCCCTGCGCACTCCAAGCACACATGTGCGGTACTCACAGAAAGGTCCCGGTCTGCTCTTTCGATCGGGACCTTTCCCAATCATGTGACCGGCCGTGACGTGTCGTCCCAGCGGGCCACATGACACTAAGCCCCACCCCGCCCTGCCCACTTCCCGGCGCAGGAACTTCATTCTCACGCCAGGATGATCCAGCGTGAAGGGGTTCATTTGTTACTGTATCTATATCTGCTAGTACATCTAAACACCCCCCCCCCCTCCATTCCCCAGACTAACAATGTTGCTGTCCAAAAATGACTCTGTTGCTTCTCCATCCAGAGTGGGGGCACTCCAATACAGGAGGTGTGTAACTAGTCAGATCAACCAGTGAAAACAGAGGGGAAAAACCTAAACAAGAAAACAAATGCAGCCACCACATCTAATGATTGGTAAGCTGCAATATATTACATCTTTGGTTTTGGGTTCATTACCACTTTAAGCGGGCCATGCACCAGTAGAATTTTGTTTGTACAGAAATTTAGAAAAACGTGCAACAGAGCATTCAATCTCGCCATCAATGAATTGACTGATTTCATTTGAAACCCCTAAAGTTTTGTTCAGACCTGCTTATTTGAATGGAATCCCAGATGTATCAAATAGGTGTCCTTTGTGTCTAGAACACACGCATTATAACATGTACAATTTTTCCCAAAGCCTGCGTTCACACCGATGCGTTGCAGAATTCACAGCATTTTCTGTGCGAATTCCACACCGCATCACATTTGCACCCCGTGCATGCAAACCGCTGTGGGTATGTATGTTAAGTTAACAACACCCCGAAATTGGTCCGCAAAACGCGTTGCGATGTGAAGAATCGGATCGCATAGGTGTGAACACCCATGCGATCCGATTCTAGACCGGCCCAAAAAAGGGTCCTGCACCTTTTTGGTGCAGATACAGTGCAATTGGAAACATACAAAGTATATGGCTCCAATCGCACCGCACACAATTCGCATGTGGTTTGCACAGGAATGCGGTGCGGTTCCTGTGTGAATCACATGCGATATACAGCACCGCACAAGCGTGAACCCAGCCTGAATGAAAATCATGTTCACAGAATTCTGTTCACTGAAATATAAATTTTTCATCTTGCTTTGAATTCTATTTTCACCATAGTTGAAAATGAATGTCAATTTGACCCCATGAACGACTTCAAAATCAATGGTTCCAAAAACAAAAAATGTCAAATAATATTCCACTGGTGTATGGCCAGCTTCTGAACTTGCACATGGCGCCCTCTCTTTACTCAATGGTGATGAAGTGACAAGGAAGGGAAAGGAAGGTTAGTACATGAAGCTGGAGAGGACAGTAGTTGAGTGAGCTTGTTACTTTGCCTTTCATGGGCAAACCATAGGTTCACGATATAGTAATGGTATCAAAACATATTTTTTTACAACAACGGGCAGTTTTCATACAAAGTGGTGAATGCACCTAACAATGCGGTCTCAAAAAGGTAGCATACCCACACAGGAGTGATTCATCGGACATAACTTAAAACAGAACTTCAACCAAAAGGTTCCTCTTTTCTGCCCCCCCCCTCCCCCTCCTTCCCAACGTTTGGACACTTTTAAGTTTTTGAGGTGGAGTTGGTACCTGGTTTTGACAGGAACCCACTCCCACTTCCACTTGGATCGTCTAGACCACATGTGTTAAACATAAGGCCCATGGGCCATATCTGGCCTGCTAGGCCATTTCATGTGGCCCTTGCACCTCCCCTGCAGCTGTGGCACCCTCCTCGTCTCCACCCCTCACCTTGTCTCAGCAGTCATCAGAGAGGAGGACAGAACTCCTACAGATCCTGACCTTCTCCATGCAGACACAGAGAGCCTAGTCTCCAGCTTCTTCCCAAGGAGGTAAGGGGGGTTCACTGTAAGTAAGGGAGGGAAGGGGACTCTTGACTTCTGATGGTGGGGGGTCTTGACATCTGATGT